ACGTAAGCAAAATTCATTAAAGTGACTTCTCTTTTAATATATAGGAGGATATTCTAAATTTTTATAATGGAATATGTGATATTTAATTGTTTCTATAAACAAATTCTAATAATCATATGTATTTAAGATGGTTAATTGTTTGTTTGGTAATATATATTAGATTAGGTAATTCTAGGATTAGTTTCCTTTTAAAAAACTTCAATTAAATAAATAAAAATTCAAATGCCAACAATCAATCAAATTAAGAGAATTAATTTTACATTGCACCTATGAATGACACGTAAGCAAAATTCATTAAAGTGACTTCTCTTTTAATATATAGGAGGATCTTATAAAAATAAATTAATTTAAAATTCTATTATGTGATCTTTGATCCCAACGATGATGGTTAAGGCGATTAAGGCGACTGTTAAGGCAATTTTTTTTCTGATTTGGGATTCTGCAGTTTCTCGCCACGATCTTGGTGGTTAAGTGTGTTTATGATGATGGAGTGGGAATTCTCTTTAGGAAACTACATACGATGTCTTCTCTCCCCACGAAAGTTCCCTCTACTTTTCGTGAAGAAGTTAGTTCCAGACGGTTGAAGAGGTTTTGTGATTATAAAATATCAAATTTTGGGAAATTACCAATCACAATAACACTGAATCTGTTTTCAATTCTTCTACTTTTCTTCTAGAAATTTTCGTTTTTTCTGAGAAAGATGTCAGACAATTTACGGAGATCGCGGCAAGACATCAATCTGGGATGTGATGATGCTCCGTTTGTCCTACCAAGAGAGGTTGTCCGTCAAGCGGAGGAAGAGAACCGATTCATGGTCATAGGACGACTAGTCATGCCAAGAAGACAAAACCTTCGAGCAATCATTGCAACCATGCCGCGTTCTTGGGGTTTGGAGGGTGTTGTTCATGGAAGAGTTATTGAGGGTCGCAGATTCCAATTTGTGTTCCCATCAGAGGACGCGATGGATACAGTGATGCGCAGAGGTCCTTGGTCTTTTACAGACCGCATGCTGGTCCTACAAAAGTGGACACCTTTGATGGATTTGGGGCTTCTCAACTTCATACCGCTTTGGGTACAAATTAGAGGCATTCCATACCAGTTCATGAATCGTGAAATGATTGTCCACATTGCAAGGGAGAAGGGTCAGTATATCCAAATGGAGTATAATGAAGAACTTGGTGGACGTCTGGAGTTTGTCCGAGTGAGATTGAATTGGAATGTTCTTCATCCTTTGAAGTTTCAACGAAACTTCCAATTCACACTTAGAGTGAATACTTTGCTCAAATTTCAATATAAAAGATTAAGAGGTTTTTGTGAAGTGTGTGGAATGATCACTCATGAAACAGATGCATGTGTTATTAACAATGGAGGTCCGGGTCCAGATGATGGAAGTGATGATAGTGGAGATGATAATGAAGAGAAGGAGAGAGTTCCTAACTAAGGAATCCACATTGAAGAAGTACTAAAGGAGGAAGGAATGAATGAGGAAGTACAAGAGGATCCAGTGTAAGAAGAATATGAGCGTAACGTGGCTGCTCTGGAAGCAGAGAATGATGATGATGAGTTATGGAAAGCTCCGTACAGACAGACAATGTTTTCAGAGGATTACTATCCTATGGATGTCACTCGTAGCAGTGCTGGTATGAGTCAGAAGAGTAAAGCATGGATACAAGATGCAGATGATAACGCTTCAAAGTTTGGTAATCTAAAGAAGGGTGAATCCAGCAGGAGTAATGAAGTGAAACACATCTGAAGTGTTGACAGACAAGTTGTGAATGAAGAACATGGTTCGGATCAGACAAAGCAGAGAGGCGCGGTGGGCCCAGAACCACCATTGCCACCATGAGGACACTCAGTTGGAACTGTCGAGGTCTAGGTAGTGACTCGATAGTTCGACACCTTAAGGAGATAGATAAAAAATATCTCCCGGACATCATATGCCTATCTGAAACCAAGTAACAAGATGATTATGTTAGGGATGTTGGAGCTCAGCTTGGTAATGTGTACTCGGTGTTAGTTTCTCCGGTTGGAATAGGTGGTGGTTTAGCTGTTTTTTTAAGCATCATGTTCAGCTTTCTGTTATTTCAAGTTCTGCTAATCTCATTGTTTGTAAGATATCATGTAATGAAGTTTAGCTCGATTTGTCTTTTGTCTACGGTCATCCTAATCAAGCTTATAGACATCATACATGGGAAAAACTGATGAGACTTGGTATTCAAAAAAGAATGTACCGTGGTTTGCTCTTGGTGACTTCAGTGAAGTACTTAATAATCAAGAGAATATTGGTGGCTGATTAAGACCAGAGGCTTCCTTCCATGAGTTTAGAACAATGATGCATGTGTGTGAATTTACAGATCTACAATTTGTTGGTGATCGTTTCTCTTGGGCGGGTCAAAGAGGAAACCATCTTGTTCAATGTTGTTTAGATCGTACAATGGCTAATAGTAACTGGTTTGAGCTTTTCCGGTCTCACATACGGAGTTCTTTGAAATAGGAGAATCAGACCACCGCCCTATAGTCACTTTTATGGCTAAAGAGAGAGAAATACGTAGACATAATTTTAGGTTTGATACACGTATGGTGCACAAAGATGGTTTTCAAGAATCTGTTCATCGAGGTTGGTGTGGAATGGGTCAAGCTCAGTTAGTACGTATCCCTCTAACACAAAGAATAAGTCGATGTCGCCATCATATTTCTCTGTGGAAAAGACATAACAAAAACAATGCTGAAGAACGGATCAGTACCTTGAGGAGTAAGTTAGACAATGCTGTTACTTCAACTGATTTTTCTACTTCTGAAAGAAATTCTATAAAGGATGACCTTAACCAAGCATATCTTGAGGAGGAGATATTCTGGAAACAGAAAAGCAGAATAATGTGACTCCGATTAGGGGGTCGCAATACATGATACTTCCATGCAGTCACCAAAGCCAAAAGAATTAGAAATACAATAAGTTCTATACAAGATGAGCAAGGTGTGATTCGTCAAGGCCATCAAGAAGTTGCAAAAGTTGCAGATGTTGCTACAAAATACTTTCAACAGCTATATGATTCTGAAGAAA